TGTTAACAAATCGTTAGGTTGTAATTCTAATGGATCAATTGAAAAATCTAAGGCCTGAAAGATAGCTAATGGATTCAAACAAAAAGAATGTCTTGATTTTTTCAATTCACACTCTTCTATAACAAGGATAGCATCTATTTCAGTATTAATTGTAATCGTAACATTCCGTGATTTGGAGATCCATTAGATAGGGATGTCAACGAGTCGAGTCGAGCTGACTCGTAAGCCAAAATGTGAGGCTCGAGCTCGACTCGGTTAAAATGAGTGAGATTTTTTCCGAGCCCGAGCCGAGCAAAAGCTCGGCAAAAAAAAAGGTTCGACCCGAGCTTTCGGCTTGAGCCTTTCCAAGCCGAGCTGGACCAACTCGATTTTGGTAATTTTTTTCAAATATTAAGGTAGCAGGTTGCTGGCTGCCTTGTTTAAGGCAGCAGGTGGTAGCAACCTGTTGCCTTTAAATTTTTTTCTTGTATTTTTTTAAATATAGGCTCGTGAGCCCGAGCCAACGAGCCACACGGGCCGACTAGAGCTTTGCCCGGTACCCCAAAATGGGGCTCGACTCAAACTTTGGCTCGGTTCTCTCGAGCTTCGAGCCAGGCAGGCGTGAGCTTTTTTCGAATCGAGCCATGGACGGTTCGAGCCAACGATCCCGATTGCCATCCCTAGATAGATGTTAAAGTAGCTTTCTTATATGGTGAGCTAAAAGAAAAAATTCACATGGAATAACCTGAGAGGTTTATTGCTCTTCGATATGAAGCAAAAGTGTATAGACTCGTTAGATCATTGTACGGATTAAAGCTAGAGACAAAACAATGGCATGCAAAATGACAAAATTATGTTCTCAAATGGTTTTAAGATTAAAGAATGTAATAAATAATTTATATTAAAACCACACCTAGTACATATGTAATTGTATGTCTATATGGTGATGACATGCTAATTATGGGTAGTAATCGTGATATCATAACAATTACCAAGAAAATGTTGACGAAATATTTTGACATGAAAGATATGAGTATTACAGATGTAATATTAGAAATCAAAATTATTAAGATATCTGAAAGACACGTTCTATCTCAATCTTACTATATTAAGACTGTTCTTAAGAAGTTTCATATAAATGACAAAATTCCAGTAGACTTAAGCTATATTTGGCCAAACATAAAGGCGAACCCCTATCTTATTTGGAGTACTCTCGAATAATAAGTATTCTAACGTAGATTGCAAATTGCACTCGTTCAGATATTACATATGTAGTAAATAAATTTAGTAGATTCACAAGTAATCCAAATAATGACCATTAGAAGGCATTGATAAAAGTTCTTAGATATCTAAGATATACCTCAAATATTGGATTACATTATACTAGATATCCAGTTGTATTAGAAGGATACAGTGATGCTAATTGAACATCAAATACAAAAGACTCAAAATTCACTAGTGGTTATGGTTTTACTATTGATGGTGTGGTCAAATATTGAAAAACCTCCAAACGAACGTGTATAGCTCGATCCACGATAAAATTTGAGTTCATAACTTTAAATAAAGCAGGAAAGAAACTAGAAGGGCTTTGTAATTTTTTAGAGGATATTCTATATTGGTCTAAAATGGTGCCTTCAGTTAGTATGCATTGTGATAATCAATCGGCTATTCAGTAGAGCACAAAATAGTATGTATGATGGTAACTTTCGACATATCCGTTGAGGATATAATACAATTAAGCAGTTGATATTAAATGGTGTTTCCATAGATTGTGAAAAATTTAGAAAAATCTCACAGATTTGCTTACCAAAGGCTAATCAAGAGATCAAGTATACTACTTATCGAAGGGAACGAGCATAAAACCTACTACGTAAGGATTTTTGTAATGGTAACCCAAACTTGTTGATTGAAGATCCTAAGATCTTGGTTCAATGGAATAATTAAGTAATGAAGATTCATATAGCACTTCAAAATTAATTCATACCCATTCATATGATAAGAAAAGTGCCATCTAGAAATTTTTTTATGTCAAATTATACTTTTAAGGAGAAATTGTAACAGCGGTCCCTAACATTTTTATTTTTTGTAGACTTTACTCTAATCTTCATTTTGTGTAAATGAAGATCCCTAATCTCTCATAAATATGCACCTAAAGTCGATCTGGATGGAAATCGTCCAAAACACAGTCAGTTAACCGAAAAAATTCCTTGGATGTTGATATCTTTTTAGACGGTATTATTGGATGATAATTTGTTAATTTTCCTGGTCAACTAACAGTGTTTTAGATGGTCTCCATCCAAATAGACTTCAGGTGCATATTTATGAAAGGTTAGGAACCTCCGCTGACACAAAATGAAGGTTATGGTAAAGTCTGCAAAAAAATAAAAAATGTTAGGGACCACTATTATAATTTTCCCAATTTTTAATGAATCCTATGTCTTGAACTGTCCAAGTGGGGTATGGCAGGTACTCTTAATAGGAGATTACCTATATAAGTGTGAAGTAGGACTGATTCTATGAGAATGTTTCAAAGGCTTGAATTTTCTAAAGCACCTTCAAGAGTTGCTTAGTGCCAAAACGAACATAACAGTTAGAACTCAAAAATGTTAGAGAGGTTATTGTGTTGGTTTACACCAATGGCTGACAATTGAAGATACGGCATTCACTGATTAGCTAAGTAAATCCTATAGTGTTCTACGACAGGAGATTGTTGAAAGTTTTGTCTAATTAGTTGGTTTGACCAACTTTTGACCATTTATTTAAGTGGATTTCGTTAGTTGAAAAAATGATTTCTTTGGCCAGGCGTATTATACTCTATGAGTTTATTGATGTATGTATTTATTTTCTCAAAACCAATTAAGGGTGAGTGAGAAATTAAGGTCAAAAGATGACTACTTGAAGTTGAAATGATTTGAGGATAAAAATGGGTGAGATATTAAAAAATACCAATCCCACGTAGGAAAACTAGAAGAATATAAACCACTTTATACTACTCAAGTTTGGGATTTGGATTTAGATCCCAAGGGTTACCAATAGTTTTGAAGTGAAGATCTACATGTTATTAGGTTGAGTCAAAGCCCACATGTGCATGCTACCGTAGCCTATGTCCATCCAACTGGTCGGCCGGCTCGACACGGCACGGTCACATGTCATGGGCCATGTGCTTGTACCAATATTGGCATATACATTTTTGGTAAAATAATATTTGAACGTTTCTATGCATGACGCGTGGCATTTTCTTGAAACTGGCGGTTGACTGTTAAAACTACCTCTCCAAAAGGATTGTGCCTATTCAAGACACAACTTTTCAATAAGACACAACATTTCAACTTCTATAAATAGTTCATCATCTCCCAAATTTTATTCATTCCAAAAATCTTTCCTGATTTTTCTTTTACAAAATGTAATTCGATCTTGCATTATTCCATATTGTGCATTTCAATCCCGAATATTAATTTTGTGCATTTTAGTCCTCCAATTTTAGAAATATCAAATATTAGTAGGTCCTTCAAATCTTGTAATTTGTAGTACTACTATTACAAGTCGATGTCGTTGTATCATAGGAGATGAGTACTGAAAGACCATCAACACCAATGCAGGATATTATCGTCTAAAGAAAAAAGAGTCGAACTCTTGTCTTGACCATTTTAATGCTATTTTATTCCATTCATTCTGTAAGTTGAAATTATATCCAATTATTTATTGGAACATTTGCAAAAATGTCCAATTTTACATATGTCAATTAAAAAATATTGACTTTTGATAATCCTTGTAAAAATGATCCAATATGATACTAAATTCTTTATTTTATCCTTAATGAAAAAATAATAATTTCATATTATATATGTCAAATCACAATTAATGCTAGACATAGAAATGTCAAGAACAACATTTAGCCCCCGTTTGTTTTTCATTTTTTCTCCATTAAAATGAAAAATATAACCGTTATCCATCACATCAAACCACCAATTTGAATTTCTATCTCTTGTGCAGGATCCGTAACGGTTATATTTTTCATTTTCATTTTTACAAAAATGAGAAACAAACAGGGCCTTAAAGTGTAGAGAAATATCATGTTTGGAATGAAAATGTCATTCTAGATATTTAATATTGTGATTTGACATGTGTACTTTTGAAATATAAATGGATTCAATAACGACATTTGAAATGTCGAGAGCATCATTTTAATGTAACTTCTCATGAAAACTATTTAGGGGTACTCTCGTCCAAATAATTTTAAAAATGGACATTGAAAAATTTGAACATTTTTATAAATGACTATGTCAAAATGGACTTTTTTTTTTTTTTTTTTTGGGTAATTTCCTCTCATTTATTCGCTTTTGAATATAAATTATTGTATGATAAAATCAACATTTTTTCAACAACTAGCACATAGAAATTTCAGAACATTTCAACATCAAGTCAAATCCTTAACTAACTGTCTCCCTTATAAGTCTTAAAGAAAACTGTACCAATTCGCCCCCGGGGTGCTTCTACATTCGCAAAGGACAGATTTTCTCAAAACTGGCAAATCAGAGGTCGTGGGTTTGATTCTTGGGGCTCTTGGAAGGCAAGGCACATACTGAAAGGCAGGAGTGTCTTGGAAGACAAGACGCAATATGGGTTGGCTCATTAGGCACTTTGACAGTCCAGTTGAAGAGGTGCTCGGACCCTGGTCAGTCGGAGGCACATCCGACGATTTAACTTATTTGTGTGAAGAGGGGCCGAATCACAAACCCAAAAAATAATCGTCGAAGGCGTCCACACCTTGAAAAAGAAAAAAAAAAAAAAAAAAACTGTACCAATTCTCTTCCTAATATGAATAATTCCTTGAGTACACGGAATTATTTCACATGGCCCCCCATGTGATTTTTTATTATTATTATTTTTCGTCCAAAATTGAACCCCCACATTTTTTTTTTTTTTTTTTTTCCAAAATTGAACCATCCACCTCTCCTGCTACGTTTTGTCTGTACCGTTCCTGTGCACGTAGTGCGGCTGTCCTAATCTCTCTCTCTAAACTCCTATTTGAACTTCCAAAGCCAACGACCGTTCTGCGCCATTATTGCTTCATGATTCTCTGATCATTTCTTGATATATCAGAGAGTGAAATTTCCTTTGGGCTTCTCTCAAGTAAATGCATCCCTTAAAATCCTCGTGCACCTATTTTTTCTTCTAACCTGCAATTCTACATCTCCATATTCCAATTTTGCTGCCTAGATTTATATACCCTTTCCCCATTGTCTACCTCATTTTTCAACTGATTCGCGTCCAAATCTTGCTACATCAAATTGTAAACAGAAGAAGTTTCAATAATATTTGGATAGCTGTTCATAATTGAGGACTATAATGTATGCTGCAACTCCTGGAAAAAGACTGCAAAGCATGTTGCAGGCTGCAGTTCAATCTGTTCAGTGGACATACAGTATTTTCTGGCAACTGTCACCTCAAAAAGGGTAAGTTTTACAAAAATCAGTGTTCAGGGGCTTAATTCACCTCAAAATATTTTTGACTTTTTTCTTCCTGAATATGGTTCAATACCATCTAATTCATTGTTTATTCATGGAAAAAATCTATTATCTTTCAAAAGAATTCTATTGTGGAGTGATGGCTACTACAATGGAGCAATTAAAACCAGGAAGACTATACAGCCGACAGAAGATAGTGCGGAGGAGGCGTCCCTCCAGAGAAGCCAGCAGCTTATAGAGCTATATGATTCCCTCTCGTCCGGAGAAACAAACCACCAAGAACGGCGGCCTTCTGCTGCCTTGTCGCCGGAGGACTTAACGGAATCTGAGTGGTTCTACTTGATATGTGCCTCCTTCTCGTTTCCTCCGGGGACCGGGTAAAAATAAATCATCATCTGAAATTCCCATTTTTTTAAAATTTATTTATTTATATTATAAATAGGTAGTATAAATGCATTGCACTGTCATCCTCTAATTTAAATATTAGCGCCGGAGGATCCAGCTTCCGGCATGAATACGGGCTAATAAAGCAAAAAAAATAAAAAATAAATTTTACTAAATTTTTTTTTCTTTCTTTCTTTTTTTTTTTATTAAAGGGGATTTGGGGCGGACGGATGGGCTGTAGCACTAGTCTACCCATTCCTGAATCCGCCATTGAATATTAGTAAATGCTTAAAATTTTATTTTATTTTATTTTTTTAAAAGAGAATTTGGGGCGGACGGACCGGCTGTAGCACTAGTCTGCTCATCCCTGAATCCGCCCCTGAATATTAGTAAAGGGTTATCATTTTCATTCATCCTCTCTACCACGTAAACTGGTCCACCAAAGTTCCATAAATTCAACATTCCATTATAGGCAATAATAGATATCACTGATTAAGCACAAAATCCACCGACCTGCACTATTTTGGGGGGTTTGAATTGAAGTTCTCTCTATCTCTCCAGCCGAATTAATTAATGATATTTTGCGGGTGGTTGTATGAATGAAATGCAGAAAGGCAAAGTAAACTCAAGAAAAGAGAAGAAAGGCCACAATGAGAGCAGCTATGCAGATAATATTAATGGTTGTATATTTGATCATTCTCCCGAACATCAATACTTACCTATCGGTGTTAAATAACCTCGTACACTAATTTATTTAAATGAATTTTTATCTTTAACGCGCCTTTTCAGTTTTCACTATAAGATTCATGTTCTCGATAAAAACCTTACACGTGCATAATTTTTGTTATTAAATCAAACATCCTCGTCTTGAAATTTAACATTTTAGAAAGGATAATGAAATTTATTTTTTATTTGAATTTTGTGTTCAGAAATAAGTATGGATCAGTAGTATAGTTAATTTTCCATCTAGATCCATCTAATTGCTTATTCTTATATATGCTTTCTAAATGGTCATTCATACTTTTAAGTAAAATAAAAATATTTAATGATGTGCCAGAATAAAAGAAAAGTGTGTCCATAACAAAATAGGCATAATAAAACTATGGTTTGTAATGTGTAGATTACCAGGAAAAGCATATGCAAATCAGAAGCATATATGGCTCACTGGTGCAAATGAGATTGACAGTAAAGTCTTCTCCAGAGCAATTCTTGCCAAGGTACCATGATATGTATTTCTTTTACTACCATTTAACAAGAAGATTATTTAACTTTTTAACTTTTTGGTAGTAGAATTGGAGGAAAAAAAAAGTTTGATTTTGAAGTATTTGCTCAGTGATCTCTCTCACTCATGTACTTATTACAACTAATTAACCACAAATTTGTATGTATTCATGTCGGTGGACTCATCCTCCATGCTAAATCTAGAAACTTTGTCAATGATAAGCAAAAACTAGTGAATTCCAGGTTTCTCCTAGAAAATTATGGAGCCTTCAAAACAAAGTTGGTGGTGATTCCTTCAGTGTATGCTACTAAATTAAAATTGTTAGGAAATATGTTACATCCGTGAAATAAACTTCGAGTTAAATCTCCACTGTAATAATAAAGGGTTACTAAAAGGAACACTACAAAAAATACCATCTTCCAGAGACGAAAAAACATGGTCTGTCAAGGTTTTTTTTTTTGTTGCCAAAGAAATTTGTGATTATTGAGTGCCCTCTAATTTGCTGTCGATGAAAGTATTTGTTACCAATATAACGTGGTCTCTAAATATGTATCACCCCATGACCAAATATTGGTAGCTAAAGGGGTCCATTTTAGCAGTTGATAATAGTTTTTTTTTTTAAAAAAAGAAAAAAAATGGTTGATTAGCACCCTAACCAAACTTTGGTTGGTAAAAGCTGTTAGTGCGGAAACGAAGTGTTGAAGAAAAACTTGAATTTTTATTGATAGTTTTTGAGTTGTTACAGCACACTCAATAATGTTTTCTTCTTTTTTTTTCTTACAATGAGACTACAAGAATGACCTCTATTTATAGGACCACATGGACAACTCTAGAGACATGGGAATATAAATGGACACCTAATAATTCATGAATTTGCATCATGTATTTTCCTGATACATTTTCTTCAAGTGCATCATGTATTTTCCTGATACATTTTCTTCAAGTGCATGTAACCTTATTTATTTCCTAAGATTACAAATTAATGCCACATTTAACACCCTCTCTTAATTTTTAATCTTGAGTTTTTCCTTGATCTTGTCGAACTTGTCAAATGTGACTGCCTTTGTTAAAATGTCTGCTAGCTGATCATTTGTGTTGATAAATTCCATGCAAATTTCTTCTCGACTTACCAAATCTCGAATGAAGTGATGACGTAGTTCAATATGCTTCGATCTGGCATGAAAAACTGGATTTTTTGTCATAGCAATTGCTGACATATTGTCGCAATGTATTGTTGTTGGCTCTTGTTGTTCAAACATCAAGTCTTTTAGAATTCTTCTAAGCCAAACTGCTTCACAAGCGGCATCCGCAGCTGCAATGTATTCCGCTTCTGCAGAAGATAGTGCTATAGACCTTTGCTTCCTCGAACTCCATGAAATAATATTTGTTCCAAGACAAAAGATGTAGCCTGATGTACTTTTGCGGTCAACAAGTGAGCCTGCCCAATCACTGTCAGTGTAGCCAACAAGGTTGAAGTTATTTTCCTTTTTGAACTCAATGCCTTGATTTTTTGTACCTTTAAGGTATCTCAAAATTCTTTTTGCAGCCGTAAAGTGATTCTTTGAGATAAAAAAATTCTTCCCGGGCTTTGTTTGACTTGGATGCCAAGAAAGTATTTCATTTGACCCAAGTCACTCATCTCAAAATCTCTCATCATCTTTTTCTTGAATTCTTCCACCATGATTTTACTTGTACGCTTGCACTGGTTCATGCTGGATTTTTCTAGAAGATCATCAATATACTTCTCTTGAGATAAAAAAATTCTTCCCGGGCTTTGTTTGACTTGGATGCCAAGAAAGTATTTCATTTGACCCAAGTCACTCATCTCAAAGTCTCTCATCATCTTTTTCTTGAATTCTTCCACCATGCTTTTACTTGTACCAAAGTATAGAAGATCATCCACATAAAGCCATACTACAAGAAAGTATCTTCCAAGATTATTGACATATAGAGATGATTCACTCGTGCTTCGATTGAATCCATTTTGGATGAAATAGCTATTGATTTTGCTATTCCATGCTCGCGGCGCTTGCTTTAAACCATAAAGTGCCTTGTATAAACGATAGACTTTTCCTTCTTGTCCTTTGATTTCAAATCCTTCGGGTTGCTCGACATAAACTTCTTCTTGAATTTCACCATTTAAGAATGCCGATTTTACATCAAGTTGATAAACACATACCTCCAATTGAGCTGCCAGTGCCAAAACAGTACGAATTGTCTCCATTCTTGCAACCGGAGCATATGTTTCAGTGTAATCAATTTCGGGCTGTTGAGAATACCCTTTTGCAACAAGACGTGCTTTGTGCTTTTGGATCGACCCATCTTCATTGTATTTTATTTTATAGACCCACTTGAGTCCAATGATTTTCTTCCCTTCTGGCAAGGCAACAAGCTTCCAAGTTTTGTTTTTCTCGATTGTGGACATTTCTTCATTCATGGCTTTTGTCCAACATACTTCTTTTGAGGCTTCTTCAAATGATTGTGGTTCACTAGAGAACAACCCAAGTTCACATGACTCATATATGTCTTGTAGTGAACGTGTTTTTCTTGGAGGGCTTTCTGGATCAGATTCTTCCTCACTTCTTGGAGTAGGGTTTGGATTATGCTCTAAATTTCCAACTTGTGACGGACCTGCTTGAAATGTTAATGGATCAACAAAATGGTATGGTGTCTGGTCCACAACTTCTTTCCCTTTCCAATCCCAAAATGCAGCTTCATCAAAAACAACGTCTCGTGAAACTGTAATTTTGTTTGTAGTTGGATCTAATAACCGATATCCTTTAGATTCATCACTATATCCAACAAAGACAAGTTTTTGTCCTTTCTCGTCAAATTTCTCCCGATTTTGAGAAGGGATAAGAACATAAGCAATGCTGCCAAATATTTTGAAGTAATCAACCATTGGCTTCTTTTTGTTCCAAGCTTCGTATGGAGTTTTATTCCGTACAGCCTTTGTTGGAGACCAATTGAGAATGTATACTGTCGTATTTACAGCTTCTGCCCAATACAGATTTGGAAGTCCTTTGCCCTTTAGCATGCTTCTTGTCATTTCAACAATTGTGCGATTTTTTCTTTCGGCCACGCCGTTTTGTTGCGGAGTTCGACTCACAGTTAATTGTCTTTTGATGCCATTTTTTCTGCAATATTCCATGAAAGGATTATAGAGATATTCACCTCCACGATCGGTCCTTAAAGTTTTTATCAAAAAACCACTTTGCCTTTCTGCTTGAACTTTGAATTGATGAAATGTGGAATATGCCTCAGATTTTTGACTGAAGAAGAAAACCCATATCATTCTTGTGAAGTCATCAACAAAGAGAATAAAATATCTCTTGTTTCCAAAAGCGGGAGTTTGCATTGGCCCACAAATATCCGAGTGCACAAGCTCAAGATGTGCTTTCGTTCTCCATGAAGTTTTTGGAAACGACAACTTGTGCAATTTCCCATAGATGCATCCTTCGCACATTTTGTCTATGTGTTGGATGTTAGGAAGTCCCGTCACCATATTTTTCATTTGGAGTAAACGAAGGCCTCTTTCATGAAGATGACCATATCGTAAATGCCACATTTAACAAAAGCATCTGTACAAAATATCTTCATAGTTCCAAATAGTGATATCTTTAGTGATATCTTTAGTGAGAAATCATTGGTCGTTAAATGTACAACTCTCAAGACCAAGTATTCATCGCTGAAGGATTGCTTTGCAATAGTCAATAAAAAGCTTTCCTTATTTTCCAGCAACAATAATTTGGTTGTAGAAGGACATTTACTTTATCAATGATCTTATCGTTCAATGGAGATAAATAACATTATTCTTTATCATTGATCGTCAAGATATACATGCTTTTGTCGATCTTCTTATTCATCAGATCCGATAATTCATTGTGCTTCTTCACCATATCTCGAAGAAGTACACTTTGTCTTATAAGTTTGGACCTCTGATCTTTAGGAAGCTAACAAACACTCTACATCATAAAATGTTAGATAAAGGCGCATTTTCTATACTTCTCTTAATTTGAGGTTCGCACCTTTTATTTTTGGTTTTGTTACTTCTTCATGTATATTGCACCTCTTCCATTCCCACCATTTGTTTTCCAGTAGAAATTTACCACATCAGAAAGCATATACTTGCATATATAAATTTCATTTTCACATAAATATATGATAAATATTCGGGATGAAATTTTATCCATATACTTATAGCTAACCAATTTCCTCAAGCTATGGCCATTAATCAATGCTAGTGAAAATGAACTTATAAATTCGTATCAGTTTAGGCTAGCAGGCTTAGCTTTTGTATAGTTCTGTTCACTTGAAAACCAGTTTAAATGGTTAATTCTATTCTCTCTTTTTTCATGTGATTGTGGAATTACAAGAGTGCTCGAATCCAGGTATTGATCTTCTCGCCCATCCATTACAAGTTACTAGAAAAAATTTTCCTTTTTTCTTTAACATATAACGTTTCTGTTAAATGTAATCTTTCAGACTGTTTTATGTATTCCAGTCCTTGATGGGATAGTCGAACTTGGAACTATAGAAAAGGTAATATCGAAGTATCTCCCATCTGAGTACACATGCATGAGAGAGTGCATTCATGTGTGAGTTAATATAAACAATAAAGAAACCCGAGAAGATTGACTTAATAAGCTCTAGTTTGGAGGAGATTAAAATTAGATTTTCAGTACATCTTGATGAAATGTATGGTTGAAAGTTGTGAGTCTCATAAAATACGTGGTTAAAATAAGATGTTGACTCTGATGTAGATTATTATTTAGAATTTAATGTTTACCAAATAGGGGCTAAATTTACAAATGGAACAAAGTGAATTATGCACGTAGCTAATGTCTGTAAGACAAGATTTCTTCCCTAATGCATGTGTATGTACACTAGTGGATCCAAGATGAGAAGTGAGCATGGGCGGTGGGAGGTGAGCACGAGCGGTCGCTTAAGCGGCCACCTATTATAAGGGGAAAAAAATTCCAGATGATCTGGCACGCCGCTGCTCGCTGGTTGCTGGATTTGTCAGTGTGTATTTATATACCGTGTACATAATTGAAAAGTTGAAATGATGGTGCATGTAGGTTAAAGAAGACGTTGGATTTGTGCAATATATCAAGAGTTTTTTCATTGACCAATATCAACATCCTCATCCTCAAAAACCAGCCTTATCAGAGCATTCTACTTCCAATCTTGCTGCTAGTCTGGCAATGTTACCTATCCACACGCCTATTCCACCAGGAAACACTAGTCAAATGGAGGAGGACAGCGAAGCCGAATTCGACTCGGATACAAAAGAGGACTACATTGATAGCCACCCCAGAGATCAAAATACTGATACTGTACCTCAAAGTGATTGTGCTGAACAGATCATGCAACTTGACATGTCTGAATATATTAGAGTTGGATCACCTGATGACGGCTTAAATAATATGGATTCAAATTTTTACCTAGTTCCGGTGGCGGAACCTAAAAGATTAAAGCACCACCAGTGCCACGGTGGCTTGTATAGGGCTGAGTCAGTGAATCGGTTGACACCATTGAATGACCCGTTGAGAAATAGCCTTCCGCCACCACATTCAGGTAATATATGTACTACAAAATGCAATTTTAAACTCAGAATATATATGGTACCTTTTTGGCTTACAATGTAATATGCATTGTTTATTTTAACTAAGATATTGACCTTAAAAAATAAAAAAACTTTTTTATCTTTTGCAACCACTAATTATTCATTTTAAGACCACCCACGTTTCGCTCCCATTTTCCAAAACTCATTTTTCACTCAAATTCATTTCAATTACACATTCTCTCAATAAAATAATTTTGGAGGAAGGTCTATAATATTTTTTTTTTTACATTTTAATATCACATTTAAAAAAAAAAAATCATTTCTCACAAAAGTTACTCTCAAAAAATCTTAGCCAAACAGGGATTTATTTATATGTCAAACTTTAATTTTTGGTGCAGTAGTTCATCCCCAGTCTGATGAACTGAGCCCGGAAGGCATCGACTATTCTCAAACAGTCTCAACCATCCTTCAACACCAATCAACCATCATTCAACACCAATCTAGCCAGTGGTCGGAGTCTTCCTCCACCTCCTCCGCCTTTTCCAACTGGTCTGCCACCGCCAACGCCACCCCATCCTCCACCCACCTGGACGGCGGCTCCCAATGTCTCCTCAAATATATACTTTTTACCGTCCCTTTCCTCCACACCAAGTTAACAGACGCTACTACCTCCAGCTTCCGCAAAGGCATGCCACAGGAAGAGCTCAATGCCAATCATGTTCTTGCTGAAAGACGCCGTCGTGAGAAACTCAACGAAAGGTTCATCATATTGAAATCTCTTGTACCCTTTGTCACAAAAATGGACAAAGCATCAATTCTTGGCGACACTATAGAATACGTCAAGCAGTTGAGTGAGAGAGTTCAGGAGCTGGAGGCTCGTACACGAGAAATGGAGGCCGAGCAACGTTCTAGAACTGTTATGGACTCGGCCCAATCAACTAGGGGAGGACCAGGTTCATATAAGAGGAAAATGAGGATAGTTGAGGGCAGTGGTGGTGAAGGAAAGTCGAAAGCCGTGCATCCAACTCCGAGGCAGGTAGCAGCGACGGCGGAGGTGATGGTGCAAGTAGAGGTGTCCATAATAGAGAATGATGCATTGGTGGAGCTGCATTGTCCTTATAAAGACGGTTTGTTATTGGACATAATGCATACTCTTAGGAAGTTAAGAATAGAGATCGTGGGAGTGCAATCATCTGTTAACAATGGGATTTTCCATGCAGAATTGAGAGCTAAGGTATGATTTACCGAATACCGATCAAGATTTAAATTTTGAAGGGTGTCACACTTTTTGTTTTCAATCCCTTCTTTGATACATTTTTTTAAAATTCATTTTCAACAATTCATTCTACTAATAAAATAATTTTACATTGGGTCCATAATTTTTTCCGAACTTTTTAACTTTACATTCTTCAAATATCTCATTTTTGACGAAATCTATACTCAAGAAACCGACCATACATGCCATTTATTAATGTCCATATTAATTAGCTAAGATTTCTCACTTTTTTTTGCCAGGTGAAAGAGAATGTAAGTTGCAAAAAATCAAGCATTGCGGAAGTGAAAAGGGCAATAAACCAGATAATTCTTCACCATTGACTGTCGATTTTAATTAGAATTAAACTGATGAAAATATTCTGCAATGATATGGAATCTAAGTAAAAGGATTTACGGGATTTTATTCACTATTTGCATCTATTTATACTTATAATTGTGAAAAAATAAAATTCCGTAACACCTTTTACTCAAATTATTATCATTGCAGTATATCTATTTATATTTATAATTGTAAACAAATAATGTTGATGTTGAACAACAATGTTTTTAGGCATAACATATCAGAATTATTAAATTTTACATCTATGTTATTTACTATTTTAATGTCTTGTACACCGAAAACCCATAAGTTGTACCTAATAACATCCTTTGGACATCTTAACATGATACATTTAGAGCCTAATTTACCATATTATGTTTGGTGTGCGTAGGTTGCACAAACAAACAACCTAATATGAAACAATTACAAGAATAAAGTCCCCTCGTATTGACCCTATCACCTATATCGTGTATGTGTAGCAGTTTTTCAATTACAATTCAGTACTCAAAAGGTAATATGGCTCATTTCTTTCGGGTCTTTTCATTGCAACTAGTCCGCGTCTCGTGCGTTGCACGAATTTTGTATTTATTTTGATTTTATTAGCGTAAAATTTATAGATTGTACAAAAAGTATTTGGAAATAAGAAATGTTTGTTTGATTCTCATCTTTTGGTCGACTGTATATTTTATGTCACGATAATTTATTTTTATTCTTATAAATAAATATAATGAATGTTGTGATTGTATATATGTCAACGATAATTTATTTTTAATTATTTATTGTATTTTTTTGTTTAATGTAGATGAAGATTTTTTTTTTTTATCTAATATTGCAAATAAGTTGTAAATTGAATTTTGCGAAATGCTTTTCTTTAGCAATTTCGATTCGAGAGGCTATACTTGTAGTTCAAAAATAACCCATGTAGTTGTAAATTGAAAGAGAATATCCACATACACAAACATTTAAATAACAAACTCAGGTTCGCACGTAAAATAACTTGAAGTGACACTTACTGGATAACCAACTTCCTTGTTGGTGTAAGAATTAGAACCTTAATAGCAGGCTTATTCTTCGGACGATACAACAGTCATTCCAAGGTTGGTAGGGCAAAAGAA